AGCCCCAGAAGAGCCCTGCCACTGCCCAGCCACCCTCCTCAAATCACTGCCCACCCCCCACAATGCACCTCTCAAGAGCCACCTGCATCTAAAACCTGCTTGCTTCCCACCCCTCCTCACCTACACTGACCCCACAAAGCTTGGGGAAGTCCAGCAACCCCCTCCAGCCTGCCCCAGCTCCCTGCTGCAACATCACCTGACAGGAGATGCACTGCAGCCAGGAGGTGGCAGGTGGCTGGGCTGGTTCATAGCACTGCATGGGGCAAGGGAGGAGGCGGGGCCAGAACCGGGACCAGGGAAGCTCTGCCAACCTCCAGGCACAGATGCAGAGCACCCACCAGATGGTTTAAGCACCCAGAGGAGCTCTCACTGGGCCTGAGTGGGGGCGCTGTGGCCCAAGTGCAGCAGAGGCCAGAACCAGAGCCACCAGGGCTTGAGCACAGCCTGTCCAGGGCCTGCCAGGTAGGCAGGGCTGCTTCTGCCCACTGTCCCCTGCAGTGCCAGAGGCCAGAGCCAGAGCCCATGTCCCCCACAGACAAGACAGAATCAACTGGCAGGCCAAATATGATCCACAGGCTGTATTTTGCCCACCCCTGCTTTAAGATGTCTCATCTCACCTAAGACAACCAAAACCATTATTCACTTTTGAATTACTTAGTTTAAAATTAGTTAGTTAGTTCAAAGTGTATTAAGGCTTTCAGATGACTGCTTTTATAAAACACATTTTTAATATTGCTCTATTTGAAGTGTCACCCTTTACACATCTATCACAGTGGTTCACAACCTATTTGGACTTGAAGCACCCCTCCATAACTTTTGAGTGGCACCAGTTTCAAAAACTAATTTATATATTACAGTGATCACCTTCTTGCAGAGGGGTTGGGCACTGGAAGCAGGGGATTATCCAGACAGAAGTGAGCCCAGACCTGTGCTTATCTCCTCACACCTTGAGGCACCCTTCAAAGGATCTGGCATCACCCTAAAGTGCCCAAGCACCCTGGTTGGAAAAAAAAAAAATCACTGGTCTATCATGTATTTGAACTCCATCATCTAAATTAATCAGATGTGCATTTGCTCCTCCCTATTTATACAAAACAAAGTGCACTTATGCCATTCAAATGATAATACTTGACCTGACACACTGTTCAGGTGTCATACCTTATTAGACTTTTACTTCCTGGGCACAAAACATCTAATTGAAAACTCTCACCAGCAATAGTTTTATGAAAAGCAGGAAGTTCTATTTACAGAGACATAAAATGAAAAGATATCCACAAGACATAAATATTCCTATTCCTCCAAACTAAAGGTTTCCGATTCCTGAAAGCAAAGGTAAGCAATGTTCCTACATGACAACATGTATGTAAGTACAATCCTGCATCTACTCAGAGGGCTGGTAAACTTTACATAGCCTAGTGGAGATGCCACTAATATCTATGATAACAGCTCTTTTGTGACTACAGCTAAACCACCTCCCTGAATTTCTGCAACAATGCAAGCTATACCACCAAGGACTCTTTTGCTAATATAAATTACATCTACACGGGAGACCTTACCAACATAACCATTTCAGTTACGGGTACAGTTTTTCCATGCTTCTAAACAACATAACTATGTCTACACTAACACAGTTTGTTGATTGTTCCAAAGCCAGTTAGCTATATTATATTTTCAATGCCAAGAGAAGCCTAAACCTATATTCTACTTATAAATGCATGTGTACAGTGCTCATGATCAAGTATGAGATACAATTTGACCAGAAAAAAGAAAGTAGTTGTGCTTGTTTAAAAGACATATCAAGTCTCATCTTTTCCCAGTCAGAATACTTGCATTCTAGTTGCCACTACACCTGCTTTTCTCTCTCTCAGGAAACTGTCTTAAAACCAGCATCCACACCAGTACTCATTTTCACTTAGGAAATTATTCCTAAGGCTGGCATTTCAGCTTTACTGATATTTTTCAGCTGAAATACTAAATTTAGGAATATTTTTAAAGATTTTTTCACATTTCTGCTAGTGACACTGTACATGATCAAACATCTCATAGCGACTGTAATAATACATCAAACATCTCATAGTGACTGTAACAACAGGTCAGCATAAAGACAAGCCAACTCACTAGGCAAGTCAAAGAAGAATAAAATAAAGTGTCCAAAATCTTCATTATTTATATGGAAACAGGACACTGACAACTTAAAAAAGCAGCGCGAGTGCAGCCACAACTTCATACAATCAGCACTCATATCCTTAGAGTTTCAAATAATCCAGTATGCCAATTCAGAAATGAAAAAATGGACTTTTGTTTGTAAACTATTACCTATGTATTAGAAATAGATTACATCTAAAACTAGACTCACAAATTATGAATTAGATTTAAAATTAATTTTTAATTTATCATGTAGAACAATAGAAGTATGAATTAGTAGAAATCAAATAAAAATTTCAGACCAGTCCAAAATGAAACCACATCCAATAGCTATTATGACTGTCCTGTGAATCACACTAGTTGCTCTGAGTCTCTCGGAACAGACATGGCAACTCTTACACATATTTGACTCGCATCTTTCCATCTTCCAGATTCTCTGTTTAATCAAAATTCTCAAACTAATTAATACTGGTAATTATTAAAACATACCTCCTTGTTATGTAGCACTGTATACGTTATAGAGGTGCACCAATACATTGGTCCATATTGTATCGGCACGGATAAAAGAAAAATTGACATTATTGGCAAATGGCTTTTTTTCATGTGGCCGATAATGTTGCCAATAAATGCTGTGTGGACGGGGCATTGGGGGGGGGGGCAGATCGAGGCTCCTGAGGTGAGGGAGGAAGTGTGGTTGGGGCAGGCGCTGCTCAGCCAGGGCAGGGCATGGGACGAATATGTAAGCATCTTGTCTGGAGGGCGCAGGGGGTGCGAGGGCAGATCCCACCACTGTGTGTACCCCGGAGGAGCCATGCAGGGGCTACAGTGAATTTTGGGATGGCTGTAGCCCCCCGTAGCACCCCACCACCTCCACTGCCCGCAGGCCTTTCCCCCGCACCAGGAGAAGCCTAGTCCTGCCCCTGGCCCCACCCCACAGCAGCATCCCACCCTCGCCCCACACACAGATCAGCAGGAACACTCCCCCAAAGGTGCACATAGCAGCAGGATGCAGCCCCCCACTCCCCATGCCCCCCAGACGAGTCACTCACAACTCCATCCCATGTCCTGCCTTGCCCCAGCTGGGCAGTGCCTGCCCCAGCTCCACTCCCTCCCTCACTGCAGGGCCCTCGATCTGCCCCCTTCCCCCTCCTTTCCCCCCAACAGACTTATCAGCCAGACGCTGCTCTCCAAGTTGCCAGGCTGCATATCAGCAATTGGATCAGTGCCATCAGTATCGGCCCAAAAAAATCTTTACTGGTGCACCCCTAATAAATTATATAGCTTTTAACACCCTGCAAATGCAATAGTCTTATTACTTTACACGTTGAACTAGTAACATTTTTGGCTCAATACAAACAGCAGACACGATATTCAGTACTTGCTTACTTCTAAAAAAAAAATCAGGTCACACTTCACTGACGTGTCAAGAATGAAATACTGCAGAACAGTTATAATAGCCACCTGTTGCACAGCAATTAATATGCATGGTATCTGTATTTCAACACTCAGAGAGGATAAAGCTGATGAAATGTTATTGACACTTTGACAAACTTAGTCATATGCATACTTTTAGAAAACCCCATCATTCATTTTTTTTTAAACTGTCATACCAAACCAGAAAAGCAGTTTAGTCTAATATCAGTTTCCAATGGTGAACAGAACCAATTACTTTAAAAAAAGATGCAGCAAAATGCACAGAGTACAATAATGGAACCAACTACCTATAGTGGAAATATCCCCAAACCGATATCACTTAGTGGTTGTCTTTTGCTCAGAAGCATGATAATCTCTCTCTCTTGTTGACAAGCACCAACTACCAATGTTCTGAATAAAATACCTATAAAATACCCTTTGGGGGATTTTCTTATTAACTTGACCTCAATAATTCTGTGAAATGAGGTTCCACAGGTTAACTGTACATTGGGGGTGGGGAGGGAATTATCAAGATTAAACATAATGCCTTATTCTTCTAATGTGAGACAAGAGGAAAAAAAGGATGCTGAAACAATTTTGTCTGTTCCATGCACTGTTTTCCATGCTTCTAGCTGCTTTCTACAAATAAATTCTTATCTTTCCTGATATAGAAATCTCGCCTTGCTTATCACTTGTCACAAGTCTCATAATTTTTTAAATATTTTACATTTTTGAGATAGAACGAAAAGAGCTGAACACAGTAAGTCCATTCTAACACTGGGCATTTTGGAGGTTTTGGGGTTGTGGTTTTTTTGGCGGGTGGTGGCAAAGACTTGTACTGAGTTCCCTACAATAATACCCAGATTCTCTCTCAAGTGGGAGCAATTAAATTAGAATTCAGCAATGTGCACATAGGAATAATTTGTACTATTTCTCCCAACATTACTTTGCATTTGTAATTCCTGAATATCTTCTATTCAACACTATACGCCCTGTTCATTTAGTTTTGTTAGAGACTTCTGATGTTCTTCAGTGTCCGCTCTCGATTAAACCTCCTCCTTGTGTTCCATCTTCAAATTCTGTTCCATCACTATATTCCTCCATTTTTGCATAAAAATATACTTTAGCCACACTTCATACACACTTTAAAAGATTAACAGTAAATGAGAGAGGCATGATTGAAGTTTGCATAAATAACACTGTTTTGTTGCCATCATATCCTGTTCAGCTAGATTCTTTGTTTTTAGTTATCATGTCAACCATTTTTCTAGTGACAAAATAAGACTTGCAGGTCTCATTCCTAAGACCATCTCTAGCAACCTTTAAAGAAATAGGCACAATATTTCCTGTGCTCCTATTCCCCAGCAGAGTAGCTGATTTTAATGAGAAATTTTACTGCTAGCTTCCAAACTCTTGGGTGCATACCATCTGGTCATACTGACCTTGCTGCTTTTGGATTTCTGAAGTTTATTCCAGCATTTCCTCTTTGGCACTTCATTCTCTGGCACCGTTTCATTTCTGCTACCTACTTTTTTCTTTGTAAAAAAAAAAAAAAAAAAAAAAGAAATAGAGAACTTGAATGCTGCCATTTTACCCTAGTTTTTCTTACCTACCTAATGATTTGGAGCACATGTATCATGCCTTTCCTACTGGTTTTGCTTAGCCCTTGATAGAGTCCTACACATCTGACACCTCTTTTTTTGTCTCCTGTTAAACAGATCACAGTATTCCAGGCAAGAAAAGAATTCTGTTTAGACTCATGTATCTTTTTCTGTGACTAATCAGAAAAAGTCATTGTTGTATAAGATAAAGCTTCATTCTCCCTCAAAGGATCATCCCTATGATACCCCACAAACCTGGAAAGAAGAAACTAAGGTGCAGATGGACTTTAGCTGTAACCCCCATGGCAGCTCATGTTGATATAAGGGACTGTGAAAGCATACTTCAGGGAATGTATTTGGTATTTGGCCATGTTGGTCTGAGACCAAAAGAAATGCAAAACTCTAAAACTCTTGGCTCAGAGATGATCCCTGTTATTAGATCAACTAAGAACCAGAACCCCCCCCCAAAAAAACTATTATTTTCATTTTTTTTGCGCTTTCTCAGTTGGTCTAATAAAAGGCATCGTCTCTGAACCAAGAGTTTCAGAGTTTTGCATTTCCTTCAGGGAATGCTTTCAGCATACAGGGGATTTCTAGGTGGCGTGCAGCTGCCAAGATGACCCTAATGCCACTTCTTGCCACAGTCCACAGCATACTGGCATCCTCGGAGAAGGGGGAAGGAAATAGCGCTCTAGCTATTCTTTGTGTCTGGACTAGATCTCTGAGGTTACCACAGCAAAAACTAGAGCACACTCTCAGGCTGCTCAAACTCAAGCTAGGGAATTCTACATTCAAGATTACCTACAAAATCTGGACAATCCCCTTGTGGTCTGGGCTAAGTGCAGCTTAACTGTAAGCCATATCAGTGTGAATCCAACTCTTCTAGACTCCAAGCAGTGACAACCACCACACTAACTCACTGAGGCAGCAGCACAGAGATTTTGGCAAAGTAAGCACTAATCACAAAGGGCTTCCATTTCTTTTTTTTTTTTCTTAAATAAAAACTCCTGTGCTCAGACAACTAACTGGAAACAAGCAAATTATCTCAAATTCAAGCTAGCCACCTCTTCCTAGAACTGGTATTTCCTGTATTATTGGCAAGCAGATTTTGTGTACCACTGTTATCTTACATTTGCAGCATTGCTAAAATTCTACTCTCCGGACAAAAACTGATCAGACTGCATGTGGCAGAAATGATTTTAAAAGTGAATAATTCAGAGAAACAACAGTAGAGAGGTTTCTTGTGACATGAATTCCAGTTTCCAATGGTGAACAAAACCAACTGCTTCAGAAGAAGGTCTAACAAAACCTGTAGACATTTTTTTCTTTATATTTTTTTTCCTACAGTTGCACCCTGCTGTTAAAAACTTTCGATGCTCGTGGCTTCAAGTAGCACCAACACAGATGGTACAATAAGAAGAATAAAATGTCCAGAAATTTAGGATTCTGACATTTAGAATGTATTGTCATTGGCTGAAGGAAAAAAAGAAAGTGAGGAAGACCACAAGGAAAGATACCTTAAAACACAAAAAGCTACATTTAAGTTTGATTCCAGATTGATTACCAAGTTTAGTTTTTAGTTGCATCATATTTTCATTTTGTGGATTAATGAAGCTGACAATGTTATTACTAGGGATTCTTTTACTTAATTCTTGTTTAATTATTGTTGTAAACAAATATGACAAAGACACAGGAACCAATTACATTTACACAGATGGCTCCCTTCTCCATTAAGTTCTTAAGTTTGGGGTAGTTTTATTTCCTTTCGATCTCTATAAATGCCCCAGAAATCTTGGGAATGAAAATAAAACCGGTCTGAATTGTTCCAAGCTTGGTCGCATAAATCACCGTTACAAGACCACCAGTCATAACAGTTTGATTCCAGCAGCAGTATCAGACATTAAGTTAGCAAACAGACAAAAGCATTGCATTGAATTCAAGAAGGGTCATCAAAGGCTTTAGGGTCTATTTGCATGGATCCAGTTACATGATGCAAGTTGAATAACCTGAATATTATTATCCATTTTAATGTATCACCTGAAAACCCTGCTCACCGTAAAAGACAATATTATGTGAGGTGCTATACAAACCACAAAACAAAGTACTCAGTACTGCTCAAGCAGATATAAAGTCTCCCTATGCATCATAAGGACATGGGAGAAATCCTGAAACGGCAAACAAGTGAAAATAAGAAAATATCATCAGGTTATAGCCACATCCTACAGTAAAAATAGTATAGTGCCATAAAATCATTTATTATGTCAAAATAAGAGCTATCGAATAAAACTACCTAATGGATAGTATTAAAAATTTACAGATACGAATCAACCTATAGGAGCCTTTAAATAAGTTCCTTAACCACTTTTTTAGTTCTCTTCCTTCTCTTTCCAACATTAGTAAATTTAAGGCCCTCATCCTATGATAAGATCTGTGCAGATGAATCCTTTCCTGTGCTCATAAGGAGCCCCCCTGAATCATGGCAGATCCACTTAGGAACAGGGCGACAATCTGATTCCCAAGAGCGTTACTATAGTGACTAGCAACATTCTCCCTCCACATATCAGATAAACATCATCTTCAGAAGGTGGGGGAAGGTTTGGTCACATAATTACCCCTATTTTAGTTCAACCTGCATATTATCTAAATCTAAATATGCTCAGTAAAAGGACTGGTAGTTTCCAGGGCAACAGGACTTTTAGCGCCTTCATGCCTTGGCCAGTTATACCCGTTCTTCAGCCTAGCCTTGACCCTTTTTGTCTGTTTGAGAAATAAAACAAGGACTTCTGAACAATAGTATTTTTAAATTCTTGTGAGCAAAATAAGAGTTCAGTATTTTTCTCTCAGTTTAATTAATTACTAGCACGTTCCTTTGATGAGTTAATCAAAACTTTTGTTTCACAGAAGGAAGAGAACTAAGATGTGCTTAATATGCCCGAGGCAAATTTCATCATTTAAGAGCCTGAAACTGGGAGGGATTTCTCAAACCACAGTATTCAGTCCCCTGCATTTGCAGTCACTGATTTACTACAAACTCCAGCACAAATCTACAAACAACAAGCCCCAAAACACCAAGAACGGACACAAAAGGCAAAAACAAGGGAAACAAAGGCATTGTCAATGTCCTACCGCAACCATGACAGGAAAGTGGTTGGTTAATATATGCTAAAGCGATTCAAGAGGTCCGTGCCCCACGCTACAGAAGAAGGCAAAGCTCTGACAGTGCATAGGGGGAAAAAATTCCTTCCTGACCCCAAATTTGGTGACACGTAAGACCACAAACAGAAGAGAATGACCCACATGCCAAAAACTACTGGGTTTCTAAGTACCAGCAGGAGTATAAGCACACCCCAATCAAAAAATTCCAGCCTTAACTGTGGACAATCCCAATGCATCAGTGAAAAGCAGGGAAAAAACCCCAAGTCCAGCAGTCTTCATGACAGGGGGCCCCCCCTCAAAAAAAATCCTTCCTGGCTCTCAGCAGATGGCTACCATCAAATAGTCTGAAGCCTGGGACTGCCAAACACCTACTACACTGCAAATTACCTCTGTCCTCCAACATGGAGACTGCAGGTGATGGTGACCATTAAGCTTATCTTGTCACAGACAACTAACTTCATATTCTTCCTATACTAATCAAACTCCATGTTAAAACTAGTTAGAAGCCGAGCAAAAAAATATAAAAATAAAAATAAAACTCATCAGATGCATAAGAAGGCTCTTTCAAAACCTTATTCCACTGATGGCAAGAAACCTTGTAATTTTCAGCCTAAATATATATCCGCACATTATATCACTGTGTATACTTTATTTTTATGTAAGCTAATGTCCTAATACCAAGAATTTGTTGATGATAATAAAACATACTTAGTATAATCCATAAACTTTACAATATATAGCCATTGTTAGAATATTTCCTGATCAAATCAATGTAAGAAGGTGTCTTGCGATATTAATGATACCCCTGGATGTGTTTACTAACAAGGTAGACAATATGTAAAAGTAAAGAAGAACAATACTGCCTGTGCCTCTCACAAGGGACTACAGATAATAGTGCATTCACCCAAAGGGATCCCAGATGACTGTAAGCTGATATGCAAACAATATGTAGAGAGATCACATCTCCACTACTATGCAAATCGGAGGATGAACCAGCAACTACTGCACACTGTGTTGCAACTATTAAGAGCATAAGAATTGCCATTTACAGGTCAGACAATAGGTCCATCTTGTCCAGTGTCCTGTCACACTAGTTATTAACCTTTGACCATCACTCCTGTCCCTGGTTTTTTTTTATCATTTGTCCCAAGGAATCACTTGTTGCCTTTTTAAACCGGGACGCTGATAGTTTACCTGGTGGGCCTGGGCCCACAGTCCAAGGCAGCAGTTCCCAATGCGGTGCCCACGGGTGCCATGGCATCCCCTAAGGTTTATTCAGGTGCCCGCATGCATTTTCACGATCAGTAAAAATCATTATTCCAACCAAAAATGCTGTCATATTGGCACCCGCTGCTTTTTCTTTGATGCAAACATTGAGAACCCCTGCCCTAAGGCAACAAAAAGGCATGTCACACAGGTGTCCCTCCTTGGTGCAGTTATGAGCCTTTGACCTTCACTCCCGTCCCTGATTTTTACTATTTGTCCCAAGCAATGAGTTATTACTTTCTCATTAACCTTCTTCTCCAAGAAGGGCTTATAGTTTCCCCACGGTGGGCACGAATCCCTAAAGTGGCAAATAGACCTGTGTCACAGGTCTCCCCCCATGGTGCACTTGTTATGAACTTTGACCCTCACTCCTATCCCTGTTTTGTTTTCTGCTGGTCACAAGTAATCAGTGATATCACCCAGGGGGGCTTATAGCTTTACTTGGCCCACTGTCCCAAATGGCGTATCAAAAGGCCTGTCACACGGGTGTCTCCCCTTGGTGAACATATTTTGAACCTTTGACCCCCACTTCTGCCCGTTTTCTTTAGTTGTCCCCCATAATCACCAGATGTGCACTTAGTGCCACCCTCTCCCAGATTAAAGTGGGCTTTTAGCTTTACTCAGTGGGCAACAGCCCATGCTCCCCAATGCACATAAAATAGGCCCGTGTCACACAGTGGCAGAGAGTGGATGCTGAACAGGAGCATGAAGAAGGTATGACCAGGTTTTCGTTCCTCTCTCACTTGCACCCTCCAGCATTTAAGAACCAAGAGGTTCCGATTAAGAGGCAGTACCCCTAAGTACTGTGCTCAATCGCTCCTGATGCCCCTTTCCTCCAAGAATCTGTCCAGTCTCTTTTTGAAGCTAACAACCTGGCAGCTTCCTTAACACCTGGCGGCAAGGATGTCCACACCAGAATGATATGTTGGGTGAAAAAAGAACTGCCTTGTGTTCACTTTAAACTTACTACCTGCTAGTTTGGTTTTGTGACCCCATTCTTGTCCTGCAGAAGAGAGTAAAGAATAAACCATGATTGACTTTGCTCCTTGCCACTTCATATTGTGCAAACCCACAGAGAGAGAGAGAGAGGGGGAGAGGGAGAGAGAGAGAGAGAGTGTGTGTGTGTGTGTGCGCGCGCGCGCGTGCGTCCATCCGTCCGTCCGTCCCCCCCGGCTCCCTCTTTCCTTAACTGAACAGGCCTCGCCTCTGTAGCCTCTCCTCAGATTGAAGTCCCTCCATTACCACCAACCCTCCCAGAACAATTTCAGCAACATTACCACCACCTTAAGTTTCAACACTGAACTGCGATGAACATTTCAAAGACAAAACTGCCCCTGCCCTCCAAAAAAGAAAGAAAAAGAGAGGGAGGGAGAGAGAGAGAAACTGCCACTTACTGCTGTAACACACCTCAAGAAGTTTATTGTGATAGTTTGGTTTCAATCAGGTTAGACAACAGGTAGCACCAAGAGCTGCACCTTCAGCCCCCACCATACTAAAACAGTCACAGTCCAGCTTACTAAAAGAGTCTAGGAGGAAGGAGCCAATACACTGAAGCCAGCAAATGGCCCCTACATGGCATAAAAGCCTCCCAGTCCTCAGGCCTCGCAACACCTTTCCCTGCAGCAGCTCTTCCCCAGCGCCCTGGCTCAGTGCTGCACAGAATCCTAGAAAATGGGGCTGAAAAGGACCAGAGGAGGTCATCTCATCCCACCCCCCACCTCAAAGCAGAACCATCCCCAACAAGATGACCCCAGCTGAGACTTTATCGAGCCAGGTCTTCAAAGTCTCCACAAATTAAAAACATCAAACTTTACAAATTCTCACACTGCTATACTAAAAACCCAGTATATGTCCACCCAGAACAAAAACAACCCCCCCACCCAAAAAAAACAACCTGCTTTGCATACTGACTTCCACTGCAGCCAGGAGAGCGCACACAACACCAGCAGCCTCTCCCTCTGCCTGAAGAAGGGCGTTTGCGCCTGCAAGCTTGCAAAGAACAATTTTTTCCAACTACTGAGTTCATCTCATAAAAGATATCACATCTCTCCAAAGAACCTTGTCTGCTTAAGTCCCGAGACCCATGCGGTGACAACCAACACCCCCAAAGATCACCCAGCACTAACAGTATTTATACACGGGAGGCTTGCCTGTAAAAAAATAAAATAAAATAAAATAAGTGGCATGGGTTCAAGCTCTGCAAAGGCTAGCACCCAGGCAGCAGGGTGGGAGGGGGAACAAAGTTGTGGAAGGAAGGGCTGGGGGGGGGGAGGGAGCGAGGGGCCACAGGAGGCCTTCTCCCTTTGCCCACCCTGCCCTGAGCCAGACGCACTGGTGAGGTCCCTTCTAGCCCCGCGTCCCTCGGATCCTATGAAGATGGGAAGAGCCGGCTTGGCTGGGGGATGGGGGGATTCCTCGCCTCCCCCTTCGGCACCCCAGTGCAAGCAACTTCTCCAACTCTCTCCCCAAGTTGCTCCCCCCGGGCCTGAGGAACTGGGAGCGCAGGAGCAGGCAGCAGCGCGGAGGCGAGCTTGCAGCCCGGCCCCCCGCACTCCCCTACCTGGTGCAGCGCGTCGGCGGGCAGCTGCGATGCCCTGAACAGCTCGGCCACGCCGCTTCCCCCCGCCGCCGCCTCG